AAAATAAAATTCTTTTGATAAATCATGAATACCCGCTGATAGTAAATTAAGTTTTAGGTTCATTCAGTAAGTAATAGACTAATAGCCAATAAGGATAGGTAGCATATCTCATAGAAAATATTGCAGTCATCAATGAATAATCTGAATACTTACGATAAATCCAGTCTGTTTTTACAAAAAAATCTCAAAATACAAGTTGAAAATCTGAAAGTTAAAACTGAACATTACAAACTTAGGTAGATCCAAAATTATTATTTTGCCGTAATATTATTATAGGTACTATCGTATATCGTACTCGATATTTATCATATTTCACCAAACACATATTTTTAACTATTTCTTAGCTACAGTTCACGGTTTGGATTTGTACGGTTAAATTATAATGCTGATAATGTATGTACACCGATGTACCCTGTTGCACGAGATTCCCAGACAGTTTCTCGCAGATGTCTATATAGTTTTCGAGTGGCCGGATTAATGCGCAGCGTGTGACGGTAAACGGCGAGAAATATATTACTTATATTATATATTATCTTACACATATATGCCATGTAGGTACGTATACGAAGTCACATTACACGCGCATTTCACCGAACGACCGTAAATTATTTATGAACGCGTTAAAACGAGAATTACAATAACAACAACGTATACACGTCGGTTGTCCGTACACACCGTCTTCATCTTTATTGTTGGAGAAGCGGTACCTAAATATATTTTATTATTTTAAATCCAATGACCGAGGAAATGGGCGGATATGAAGTATAGACTGAAACTCGAGTAAATTATTATTATGTTTTTTACCAATATAATATATTATAATATTTATATAGGTTTGAGTTTTTCGATGACTAATGAATAATGATGTTCTAAAGTGCTGCACAAATAGACCACTATATTTTTTAAATAAACTAATAAAAATAATATTACAATATCTGTATCAAATCCAATCCAAACATTACCAGTATGCATTTCCTGTAAAAAATCGATCACCTTCGTTCATTTAATTATATGACTGGATCATTTAATAATTATCGTATTCGGAGTTATCGGATTAGGATCGATTAGAAATAGCGGGTGGTAGCTAGTGAATATASTTTATAATGTAGGTACCATATGATTATTATAAGTTATATAATGTAATAGTTAATTAAAATATACATTTTAATTAGTATGTAATATAATATAAATTTTCCACTATATCATCTAGTAAAAGACTTATTACGCGCGTGAATAATAATATATTTGAAACAATGAACAATAAACTCCGAGTGATTTTAGATAACTACGATGAGTACGATGTCTGTAGTCTGTATATCTGCAGAAGGAAGWGTAAAATAAAATTAACACATGCGTTTTACATCACGAAATTTAACCGACGTCGATTTAACCGACGTTTTCAATATTATAATTAATTATTTTTCTTTTCATCTCGTGATGAATATGCGATTATTTCTGTATAAAATATGAACTATACATATGTCAGCTATGAATTGGAAATTAAAATCTAGTGAAATTGTTTTTTTTTGTTTTTTTTATCGTGGATAAAAATAATTCAGGGACTGTAGATAGTAGATCTTTTATAGAATTATGCGTATCAATATTAATCATGAATCACGAATCACAATTCACAATTGTAAATCGAAATCACTTGATACGTCGTATTGAAAGGGGATTTGTTTATTGAGCTGTAAAACCGAGGTGACATACCATCACTAACTGACAGTGGCGTACCTGTGAAGTATTTTTATCCACGATA